TCACAAATTTGTCATCAGAATGCTTCTGGGGCTAAGTGGTTTGATCATACACTACTACTTATACATCAGCAGCATTGGCTATCTGTTCATTTTTTGTGTTAGTTTAAAGCCCAGAATGCTTATAGATCAGGAGATGCCAAATAATACCTCCGCCCACATGCATCTGCCCAAGCCATGATATTAATATTGGAACTATTTTATTTATTTATTTATTTATTTATTTATTTATTATTTTATTTCTGGTATTTCTATCCCATTCCTTCTCAACCCCTGAAGGGGGACTCAGGAAGGCTTACATTTGGCAGCAATCTGATGCCATTACATATAACACAGCAATATAATAACAATTAAAACAATAAGTCAAACATTCATTAAAACAGTAAAAAAAACAGTATTAACTAGTCTCAGGCCAACAGACAAGGCAAGTGAGATTGTTCAAAACAGGACCTTTTCAGTACCAGCCCCATACTTGTAGAATTATCTGTTTCTGGCAGCCTTTATGCCATTCTTAAATATTTTATTTTTTATCTTTTTTTCTAACCTACTACGTAAAACAACTACATTTCTACTTTGTCTTTTCATTACGTTTGAATCTTCTGTCAACTTTTTTTGTATGATGCCTTGGGAGGACTTATCCTTAAAGATGTATTGGAAACAACATTTCATAACTAAATGATATTCCAATTGTATTGTCGAAGGCTTTCATGGCCGGAATCACTGGGTTGTTGTAGGTTTTTTCAGGCTATATAGTCATGTTCTAGAGGCATTCTTTCCTGACATTTCATCTGCATTTATGGATGCTTGCCATAGATGCAGGTGAAACGTCAAGAGAGAATGCCTCTAGAAAATAGCCATATAGCCTGAAAAAACCTACAACAACCCAGATATTCCAATTGAAACTCCATCCTTTCATAAGAACTATGAAACTAATTGAAACTGAAATGAGAGAGTCAATATATTCCTGTCAAAGAGAAGGAGACCTAAAACCCTTGGTCCTATGCACTGTATACTTCTATGGTTATTCCATGCTGTTACTGGAAAAAGAGCAAACGATTCCATACAAACACACTGGCTGCTATCCTATTCAGTAAGACAAAGATCTGAGAAAATATACATGAAAGTGTCATATTGTTTTTGATAAAGCTATCTTAATAACTTTGCTTCAACTTTGTCATCACATCTGAAAGATACTAGTTTCCATTTTTTTTAATGGGAGTGAAATTAAGTCAATGCCATAACAGTTAGCAATAGGGATATCTGGAAACCTCCCCTCAGAAATAAAGGGTGGGCCAAAAGTCAGAAATGGGTTTCAATATTTAATAACTTCTTTCGTTTTTGGTTTTAATTTACAATACTATAGCACCATATACAGTATATGTGTATGTATGTGTGTATGTATGTGAGATAGATATAGATATAGATATAGATATTGGCCCATCTTTTAGAATCAGCTTTTCTATAAGATATTAACTCCTTTTCCATCCAGGCAGCTCTTGGTCAGTTCAGAAGATGAGAAGTGTGACAGGCAAGGTCCACCATGTCAAAAAGTCCCTTGAGACTGCCAGCACCCATAACCATAAAGGTCTACTCCACACTTTCATGATATTCTGCACAGCCATAAAAATTAGCGCACAGTAATCTAAGATTACTACCAGCAAAATATATCTTCAACAAGGAACTGCGGTCAATCATGGCTCTACAATTAGTAGAGCAATATACTTGAGGTAGTCTCATTCTCATTCTACACTCTAAGTTGTCCATCTTTTAAAAATGTTTATAGCCACTCTAATCTCTCTAACATTACCAATAACAAATGTATGAGTTAACAGCCATCCCAGTCCAACTCACAGGTGGTATCTTGCCCAGATCATTCAAACTCAAGTTTCTCATCCTGCTGGAGATTACTGATGAATGAAAAATCAAAAAGTAATACAGAAGAAGGAAAATTGGGGGGGGGGGGTCTCCACTGAGAGTCAACTGCACCTCCCAAATCCTGCTGTAATCAGCGTTATTAATTTAAAAAGTAATGTTCATCAGTAACTTTGCCAATGGACATGAAGTCTTATTCAATACGTTGATGTATATACCATATATATCTGGCCTGTGTTATGACAAAGCACTCAAACTGTCATCACATCCTGCAGTTATTTCATATAAGACTGATTCAAATCCTTTCATGGATCAGACACCAAGAAAGGGGAAGCCTCGTCCCTTGAGTGCTCTAACTGGAGGTCAGCGGTGACCAGCAGTGCTGCAGAATTTGAAGAGGCACGAATGGAGGGTGAAAGATAGAAATGTGCCAAAAGGAAGGCATGTAAGCAAACCCTGATCAGGATCGCCTTCCACCTGGAAAGAACATGCGGGTCAAGAATAGGGCTCCACAGTCACCTACATATCCACCGCCAAGACACTACACTTGGAGGGCCATCATACTTGGACAACGAGGCCCTCCAAGTGTAGTGTCTTGGCAATGGATACAAGGGATCGCCTATGTAAGTAAGTATAGTATATGCATTTCATTTCTTGTAGTTTTCAACAGAGTTGAAGTCATAATGTTTTATAACATCCAACATCAGTGTATTTCCACTCACACATTCAGTCCTAATATTTGCATTCCTTTTCAGAGAGGAAGGAGAGTATATTTCTATCTTTGTACTGCTTTTCATTCTGCTCCCAAACTAATGTTAAATGAAAAAAATGAAAGCACTGGGAATCGTCATGGTTATGGTGACGTATGTAAATAGTCCTATGCTGAGCCAATGGAATGTCATATATTGCAATGCTAGGCACTAGGGCTAGGTAACAAGAGAGAGCTGTTGCCCTGAATATCACTTGCAATAGTATAGTAGTTATAATGGCGGACCATTCTTGGCCTGATCCAGCCTTCTAATCTTTGGCATATCGAATGCAATAATATTGTTCTGTGTAGCCTTTATTAAAAAACAAAAAAGTTCAGTGATAAATGTTATCAAGATCTTGTAAACAGTGAATACCCCAAACATTCCATTTACCTTTGTTGGTTTCTTCTCCCTCACAGATATTGAACACAAATAAATAAAATAGACCAGCAGAATACTTCCATTAAATACAGAGAGACATGATGGATTCACCAAAACATATAAAATGCACTGCACATATATATTTCCCACATACTGATGTCAGTATCAAAAAGGTAGGCGATCTCTTCCCTATAGTCTTCTTAAGCATCTTTCTTTATGAGATGTTGGTGGTATTTTGATGCCACTATTTCAGCATCTCCTCCTTTCTCAAAGATACCAGCTTTTAACATCTCTATTGTGTTACATTTTACTCACATGTAAATCTTAATGAGATCAAACAGGCTTTCTCCTGGGTAAGTATGTACCTAAGGGTACCTAAGAAACCATTCCACAACATCTCCACCAAAGCTGATTTCTTCAACACATAGTCAAGTGCAGCAACACCTTCCATGTGGCTAACTGCCTCAATGCCACTGTGTTTCTGCAGCATCTTTTCATCCTTGTTTCGAGGCATTTAACAAAACTCCAACTGTTACCCGGAGACACAGAGACTGCAACAGATTTTCTTGTTAGCATCTCATTATTCAATAGGCGATCAGCATAGAGTTCTCCAGTCTACTTTTTCCTTGCTATACAATTAAATGATATCTTACCACACCCTCTTTTTAAATGCTTAATTTGTATTCTACTGATGATCATGATCATGACCAAAACAGTATTCACTCACTTCAATTTAGGAAACACAACTTCCATTCTGTGCCTAAAGCCTTCCTGAGGGTGAGTTAACTTTTCACCTCTTTCTTTGGCTATTCCATCCATAGCTATTATAGTACAGGTTGAGGATCCCTTATCTGAAATACTTAGGACAAGAAGCATTAAGAATTTGAGATTTTTGGAGAGTATATGGAATGGATACACACACACACACACACATGTATATAACAACAACAACAACTTTATTTTTGTACCCCGTCTCCATCTCCCTGATGGGACTTGGGGTGGCTTACATATGACACAAGGTGCCTACAAACAGCGCATAAAATAAACACACAGTACAATAAAAAAGTAAAACCAATAACACATAAAACAACCATTTAAAACTAGGAAGAACGCCCAGTAACCTATGGTGACAACTGTCATAAGAAATGGCCATGGGATGCAAGTGCAGTGCCATGTTGTTGATTGAGGACGATTGGGGCTAGACATTTTCAAAGGCTTGTTTAAATATCCAATATACATACATACATATCAGTCATTAACCAGTAATAAGTACTGTCATATATGTATATCATGGGGACCCATGTCCAAACACAAAATTCATTTATGCCTCATATACACTTTATTCACACAACTAGAAGTTCAGTTAAGCATATAATGTGCATGAAAGTTTGTGCAGATGGTACCTTCACACAGCAAAGGTATCACTATCTCTGCCACCCATATGGCCAATTTTGGAGTATTTCAGATTTTGAAATCCCAGATATGGGGTGCTCAGCCTGTGCCTGATGAGCTGCCCTGAAGCACCTCCAAGACTCTTGGGGTCTTCCTTCCTCCAGAAGTGAAAGCTCTTAGCACTTGAGGTGCTGTGGGGACACAGCAGGTGCCCCATTCCTTGGGAAGAGATACCCTTCCGAGGAGCCAAAGAGTTTGGCTTCTTAGGTGTCAACCGAGTTCCCCTGAGTCTACTTTCCAAGCAAGTTCAGACTTGCCTGGGATGCAGTCCCAGAGGATCCCTGGGGTTCACTTGAGGAGACAGGTAAGGGCTTGAACCAAAGTCACAGACTGCTTGAGCAGGAAGAGACCCCAAAGGCCGTATAGTCCTACCATGTAGTCAACACGCACAAAGTCCTCTTTTCCCCGGGCAGGACCAAAACACACACTTTGCCCCCCTCCCCGTGTGTGGATGTGGTTTCTGAGGGAGTGGGCCCAGTGGGGAGGGCGCCAGCGTGGGAGTGTGTGAGTGCCCCCTCCCTCCTCCTCTTCCACCCGGGTGGGACTTACCAGTTGCATGCCACAGAGGAAGATGAGGCTGCACCTGCCGCTGCAAAAGCCCATGGTTCCCGCCGAGCCCTCGCCGCGGCCCCGCAGTCCCACGCGCCGCCGCCGCCGCCGGGCCCTTATCCAATCAGAGGCCGGCAGCCGCGGAGCCAGACCCAGCAGCACTCGGGGAGGGGGCGCCGGACCTCCTCCTCCTCCTCCTCGCCGCCGCCGCCGCCGCCTCCTGCCAAGTCCCGGCCAGCGACGGGCATCAGGCTCCCTCCAGCGCCGCCGCCCGAGCCTCCGCTCCCTTTGCGCCCAGAGGCTGCCGCTTCGCCTTCCTCCTCCTCCTCCTCCTCCTCCTCTTCTTTATCCGCCACCAGCCTCAGAAGAAGCAGCAGCAGCCCCCCACACCGCCCCTCGGCGGCCTTTCCAAGTTTGGCCCCCTCCGTGAGCCATCCAGGGAGAAAGGAAGAGGGGGAGAAAGAGGAGGCAGGCAAGGGGGGAAGGCTCCTGCTCCTGCCAGGATGGGCTCGCGCGCTCTCTCTCTCGCTCTCCTTCCTCCGCGGTGCTGTGGCCGCGTCCCCTCAGACAAGAGGAGCGGCCTCTCCTCCTCCTCCTCCTCCTCCTCCTCCTCGGAGCCGGGTCAGACTATGCTCTCGCCTCTCCCCGGACCCCTCCCTCCCTCCTCCCTCGCTCTCGGCCCCCTCCCTCCCCGTTGTGCCCGAGCCTCCTCCGCGGCGCCTCCATTCAGCGGCAGAGCCCGTATTCCCAATGCAGCACGGCAACAGAAGGAGGAGGAGGAGGAAGAGGAGGAGGAGGAAGGGAGCTGGCTCCTGATGCTTTTGCTGCTACTGCTGCTCAGAAGCATGACAGGCGCTGTCTCTCAATGTGCCGCCGCCACCGCCGCCCCTCAGGAGCTTAGCAGGGCTGCGGGGAGGGCGGGGAGGGCGGGGTGGGGGTTCACAGGGGAAAGGAGGGGGGACGCCAGAGGGAGAAGCACCCCTCTTCCGCCTCCTCTGCGCCCCCTCACGACTTTGCTTGGGCGCTCGACTTTCGGGGTTCTCTCCCTGCTCAGGAGGAAGAGGAGGAGGAGGACACAAGGTCTGCTTGTCCCCGCCTTTCCCTCCCTCCCGCCTCGGGCTCCCTCTTCGAGCCACAGCGCGAGCGCCTTCCTCTGTCTCTCTCTCTCTCTCTCTCTCTTTCTCTCTCTCTCTCTGCTCCCCGCAGGCGTCGCTGAGGAAACCACCAACTTGAGGGGCGCTGCCTGGCGCTGGGAGAACAGGGACCACCTCACTGGTGGGAAGGGGGGGAGTGTTTGAGGCCTCGTTCGAGGGGCTCAGGGAGAGGGTAGCGCGCCCTCTTCGCCTCCCGGAGCACCCGAGGACACGGCCGGGCCGCCGCCCGCTCTCCTTCCCCCCCTCCCCCCCCCCGCCTTCGCTCCCGCGCCTCGGAAGATGCGGCGAAAGGGGGCCGGCGTGGGGCTCGGTGCTGCCGCCTGCTGGGCGCGCGGGAAGCATCAAAGAGGAGGAGGAGGAGGCCAGGGCTGCTCAAAGCCCTGGCAAATCCAGCACCTTGGACGGAGCCATGCTTTCGGAAGGGAAAGCATTCCGAGTCTGGGACACTTATTTTGCATGTGTGGGTATACTTCCTAGAATTGCCCGGCAAACCTAAGCATAGGTTGGTCGGCCTTACTAGTTGAAGTTGCCTCTAAAGATTATTATTATTATTATTATTATTATTATTATTATTATTATTATTAGAAACACAACAAGATGACTCCACAGCAGGCTCTACTGGCTGTTGAATTGGATCACATTTCGGTCACTTCCCAAGTGTCTAGGACTGTGTGATGTATCGCCGAATGATGCATCCAGATCCCAGTAAGGTGGCCTTCTGCAGCTGGCAGATGGTAATTTTGTCAAACACAATCGGCGCTAAGTGCAGGCCAAGGTCTTTAGGCACTGCACCCAGTGTGCCAATCACTACTGGGACCACCTTGACTGGCTTGTGCCAGAGTCTTTGTAGTTCAATCTTTAAATCCTCATATTGTGCCAGCTTTTCCAGTTGTTTCTCTGCAATCCTGCTGTCACTTGGGATTGCAACATTGACGATCCATACTTTGTTTTTTAACACAATTGTGAGGTCAGGAGTATTGTGCTCCCAAACTCTTTCTGTCCAAATCCGGAAGTCCCAAAGGAGTTTGGCGTGTTCATTCTCTGTAACTCTTTCCAGTTTGTGATCCCATCAGTTCTTTGTTGCAGGCAGATGGTATTTGTGGCACAAGTTCCAATGAATCATCTGAGCATGTGATCCTACCAGTTTTTTGTCATCATCATCATCATCATCATTATATTTCTTTATACTCAAAGGGGACTCAAAGTGGCTTAACTTAAAAATACCAAGGCATTGACATCTCCAGCCTTGGACAGAGCCTTGCTTTCAGAAGGGAAGACATCTTGAGTTAGTTTGGGTCTGCGATACTTATTTTGCATGTGTATTCATACTTCCCAACAAACCTAAGCATAGTTGGTTGGCCTTACTAGTTGTAGTTGCCTCTAAAGATTATCTCCCCTAAAGGGGACTCAAAGTGGCTTAACAATGCATTGATATCTCCAGGCCATCCTCTGTTTGGCCAGCAAGCCAATACCTTCAATCAAGAAATGGCTTCCTAAGATCTATAGCAGTGGTTCCCAACCTGTGGTTCACTAGTGGTCCACAAGAACTAAAGCATGGTCTGCCGTGTCAAAGTTGTTACACCATTGCAATGAGAGCAACTGGTCTTGCAAAGCCCTCTAATAGTGCTGAGGCTTATTAAATATGGTTTTCTGTGGGTGAGCAGATGGCAGCTACTGGATGGCCTATGTTCTGTATCAGAAACTAGAGCTGATGTGGTCTATCCAGTGCAATTTTCTGAATCAGCACCCCAAATAACCAAATAGAATCTAAAGTCGACCAAAAACTGAATCATAACCCATTTAGTACTAATGTTAGAGGCTGGTCCATGGTTAAATGGTCCTTGGTAAAAAAATAAAATAAAATAAGAGGGTGAGAACTACTGATCTACAGAGATACTCAGCAAAACACCTCAGCAAGTGAGAGTCCAAAAGTGGAAGATGAAACCCCGGAACCTCAATCAGTGGCTGATACCAGATGAGAAACTCCCTCCTGGGCATACAAAAGAGTGAGCAACTTGGAAGGTGCTGAACAGGCTGGAGTCTACGGCATGTGAATGTGGAGAAGAGCAAACACAGACCACCTACTACAATGCAACCTGAGCCCTGCCGCATGCACAATGGAGGACCTTCTTACAGTGACACCAGAGACACTCCAAGTGGCCAGCTTCTGGTCAAAATGAATTTAGTATAATGCCAAGTTTTTAACTTTGTGGCTTTTCTATACATTATAACTGCATTCTCAATTCGCTTCTGACATGATAAATAAAATCAACATAACCATTTAAAATATACAAATATACAAACATTAACACAGGATTAAATATAAACAGTATTTTTAAACTCCCAGTATAAAAACCATTAAAACAAATTCAAAGTTAAAAACCACAGCACCTCCTGAAGTGTACTTAAAAACTTTCATCTTTAAAAGGCTGTCTTAATAATAATAATAAAAAGATGTCACCTCCCTTTCTCCACCTGTTGGTTTTATCAACCATAGCAGCCCAATACAACTTTTCAGGGAAGATTTCCCCATGAACTCTAATCAGAGCCAAGAGGTGTATCTATGCCAGGCATGGGCAAACTTGGGCCCTCCAGGTGATTTGAACTTCAACTCCCACAATTCCTAATGGCCTCAGACCCTCTCTTTTCTTTCCTTTCTGCTTAAGTAGCTGAGGGGGGAAAGGAAGGGACTTGAAATAGGAGTTGAAGCCCAAATCACCTGGAGGGCCAAAGTTTACGCATATCTGATATATGGTATAGTGCAGAATTAATGGAGTTTGGTGCCATTTTACCTGTCAGGGCTAGTTGTTGTTTGGTGTCATTTGAGAGGTGCCAGCACTCTTTGACAAAGAAGCTAAAGGCCTTGTAAAATAATCACTCCCATGATTCCATAGCACTGGGCAAGTTCAGTTTGAGTGGTGTAAAACTGCACCTGAGGTTATCAAACTGCTAAAAATTAAATTCATCATAGGCATTCCTCTACAGAAACAGTTCCAGAAAGAAATGGCATAATGCCATCATTTTAAAGGACAAGGAGCAGAAGTTTGATTAATTAGTGGAAAATATGTTTATTCCACCTCTTCCCCGTGTCTTCTTGCTGTTGTTGTAAGTGCTCGCTCCCTCCTTTACAATGAAAATGTTTCCAGCTCAGCTAACTTTACATAAATAACCTGAGAGCCAAATGGAGCCTCTCCCAAGGGAAAGGGAACCCAACTACCAAATATCTTCTGATCCCAGCACCCATCATCCCTCATCATTGTCTGCATGACTTGGGGCTACTAGAACCAGAAACCCAAAAGCAAAAGGACAGCTAGATATTCTCCATCACTGTTTTAGCTCACGCATGAGGAAAAGATCAGTGCATGATAGTTTTGCACTGCCCTATGTTCCCATAAAACTTGCCTAAGAATGTGGCAGGAGCAAGAAAATGGCTTCCCTTGAAAATATCAATGTAGAGACAGATGGCTATGGCAAGATTCAGCCCTTTAGGTGACCGGGACCTAAACCATGTAGGGCTTTGGACTGCTTGGAAATGGAACCATACCTAGTAGAGCTCTTGTATTTGTAACAAGGGCTTAATGTGCTCCTTATAACCAGCTCCAGTAATCTGGTTTAATAAACTGATTCTTGGGATTCACAGTGGCCTGTGGGTGACATTAACTTACTTTAGTTATGTAAATCTCCGTAAGCTTTGTTCTCAAGCAAAATCATACTTTTATCATTGTTCTTTACTCTAAACAATTTTCAAAAACTATTCACAATTCAAGGCTTAGTCTGTGTAAAAAATAAACATGGTGACTTTATTCAGGAAACTTGTTTCTGTGCATAAATGCATTTTAGACATAGAATGTGTCTTTTTCTATACACACACACAAAGAAATACCCCACCTACAAAAAACATTTTAATGCAGAATATGTCCTGAACTGTGCAGATTTTCACCTGTGTAAAAATATCTTTAAGAAGGTTTCCAGAACTCAAGAAACCTATTTATGAACTTTTAAAAATCTTTTGAAATATTATTTCCATCCCTAGACTATATTTAACTTGTGGTTATAGTCGAAACCTAATCACAGTGTCAGGTCTGAATTTGGCCATCAAGGGAAATGAATTTGTGGGGTTCAGCACAAACAGATTTTTTATTCCCTGATCTTTCTTTTGACTTGGAAGGAAAACCTATCTTTTCTGGATAATTTTTCAAACTGTTTGCCTTCATCCAATCCATTACAGATGACAGATACTTATTTAGAAATAGCCTCCTTTGTGTTAGGTGAAAAGAAAGAACTGAATTCTTCCACATCTCTAGACCACCTCCACCAATTATTGTATATACATGTTAAATAATATTGGGGGGGGGGGGGAGTCCAGAGCCTTAAAGAAGTCAAAGAAAGAATTCTCTAGCTTCTGTTCCAGACTTCAATCTCTAAAAGAATGATCTCCTTGTCTCTTTCCAGTAACATGGACTGTAAGAATAATTTATTGAACATTAGCCAAGGCTGACATGAAGTTTTGCTGAACCAAAAGGAACTCATTCCTGCTTTCCAGCTTACTTTGTAGGCACTCACCAAGGTCACCAAACTGGTTTTATCAGTAGTCATAATCCAGAAACCCTAGGAACTGAGATGTCATCACCTTTCTAGAAATGGACTATTGGAGAGCAGTTGGCAATCATGCAGTATGGTGGGACTCAGGGGAGTCTTTTTCAGCAGGAAATTTAAAACTGCCTCCTTGAGCCATTTTGCTGTAGAAAATAACTGACCAATCATTTCACCCAACTGACCAGTCTATTCTTGGCCTTTTTAGTAAACCAGAAAAGACAAGGGTCTGCCACACCTGTAGTGTCCCTCAGCTCACCACTTATACATCTATGCACATGTATTTTACATGTGAACCAAAAAGCAGACGGTACAAATTAATCAGTAAACGGAGTAAAGGGTGACTTTTTTCTGCAAAGCCTTCTAATCAGTTTGGTATTTCCATCAGAAGTAGTAACCATTAGTGTTAGTACATTTTTATTATATTGATCCTACCAAGTGAGTTTATGGAAAAACAGCCAAAATAAGAAGCCATGGCAAACCCAAACAAGGATTTTAATGATATTCATTAATTGTTTCTTATGGACTTTCTAAATTCTGCTAATGGTTTAGCATTGACAGATGTAACAGATGCCTGTTTAGTCACTCAGCTCATGAGCTCCAGGTGGAAGCTCCACTTCAGTGCCTGAGCAGGGTCTA